GCTTTTACTTTATCATTCAGTCTCAGAGTCCTATGTTTGGGTCCTGCATTCTGCCTGCCACACAGCACACCATGACAGGTCTGCCACCTTCTGAAGGAAAGATATCATGTCAAGGTAAATAAAAGCACAGCGAATATGATTCGCTCCCTCTGTAGCAGCAGTCTTGAAAGGCTCGCCTTAAAGCTGCAGTGTAGAAGCATCGTCTAGGCTTTCTGTCATTGGAGTACTTAAAGAAACTTCATCAAGAACATTGGTCTACTGTACATAAGGTAAATAGTGGAGATTTACTCTTACACAGGGTGTCAGTGCCATAAATAGATGCCCAAATTTCAGGCCAATTCCACTAAAATTTCATTTTGCGCCACTGAGAGATGAAGTGACGCTGCCACACACACCTGGTTGTTGAGGAAGGATTCGGCCTGTTTGACGTCACGCAGGAATAGATGGAAAATGTGAGCCTGGACCAGAACTTCTCTCCTGCTTTCCCACATCTCCAGCAGCTTGTTCCAGCCGACATCGAGTTTCTGGAGCCACTGCTGCAGGGCGGCCTGTGGGAGAGGAGCCTCCTCGGACTCCAGGAGCTCATTCATGGCTTGCAGGCGCTCGTAGTCCTCTTCGTACCTGCGTGAACAGAGCGCTGCCCAGTTATTCTCTACACAGCCTGAAATAACATCACGTAATATATTGTAGAAAACATTCACCTACCGTCCAATCTCTTCCTTGAGAGCAGCGTGCTCGTTGATGAGCTTCTCTGCCTCCTCCAGATTGTTGGGCAGCTGCTCTGAGGCAGCGGCGGTCTGCGTCTGGACCAACCAGGTGAGGAAGGAGTCCAGGTCCTGACAAGACAGGGTAAGGAGCACGAATCACAATTCATTAATTATACATTAGTTCATACTCTGGAAGTTTGTGTAGACAGAAAAACTTTCTTTATGACCTCTACACGACATCCGCATACTGTTTGTGCTTCTTCACTCTTGCAATGTGGAATTAAGGACAGCGTGCTTTCAGATTACCAGCTGCTCTTTTGTTAATCCACTGCCATTAGGTAGCTGAAACTAATTAATTATTTTTATAGCACCCGCTTCTCCCCTGCCACTTTCTCAGTCTTCACAGTACCAGAAAATGGAGTCAGTTATTCCTTAATAATGACAGGTTGGCTGATAATTTAGCTTGAGGTCCTTTGGCCCTATTTAACTTCTATTCTCTTTGAAACTTTTCAAGTTGGTTTCTTTATTGAGCCCTGCAACAACGCCCTCATTATTTATCTAAGAGTTTATAAACATGTTTGGGGTTTAATCGTTCATAAACATAATTTCAGATTTGATTAAAGAGTCAGCAACTGAAAGACAGGCTCTAGAATTTATATCTCTGTAGGATGTTGAAGATGGAGGTGCCAGGAGAAAAAGGGAGGATTGGTGTGACAGAAGAGGATGCTAGAGATAGGATGAGATGGAGGCAGATCATTTGCTGTGACGAACCCTAAAGGGGCAGCTGAAAGAATAAGAAATAT